AAGACTGCCCTACTTCAAGCAGGAAGCCTTGGCAATGCCTTAAGACTGGACATCGAAGATAGCTTGGGGCTGCAGCTGATGCTGAATTTATTTATTTATTTATTTATTTATTTATTTATTTATTTAGAAAATCTATATGGTCACCTAACTTATGCATGATAATCCTAGGCAACTCACATCAACATCCATAAAATCAAAATAAATGTAACCTACAAACCCTACAACAACATCATATATCCCATCAAAGTGTCCTTATTTCCATTTATTCATTTCCATCCTAGCCCAAGGCCTGGGGGAAAAGACAGATAATTACAGCCCTTTGGAAAACTAATAGGTTGGGGGCCTCTGAATCTCAGGGGGAAGGCAGAGGTAGCTGCAGTGACGGGTATCTCCAAGGTTTTGTCAGTTGGCAACATTTGAGGGAAGGGACCTGGAGCATGCCCACCTATCTGACCTGAGGAGAGAACAGGGCCCTGAGGCACCCCATGTAAAAGAGGCCTAGGGGTGGAACTTTCTCTCCCGCCACCACCAACACTGTTGGAACCAGCCACAGAGGAAGGAGGAAAATCACAGAAAAGCAATGGCCCCTAGTTCCAACTCCTGGGCCATTGCAAAATGCTGGCTATCATATACCATGGGTCGCCATAATATATCTGGGACGACCTTAGCAAACCTGATTCTGTCCATCCAGTTTGAGTGTTAAGAGATGGATAAGAGGGGTATGGACCAGGATGCAGGCTATCTCATCATGGATTATTTGGTTCCAACCCTCCTTGTGTACCAGAAGACCCTGAAATTAAGATCTGGCTCTGTCCCCAGGTGCTTGGGTCAGGATGAGTAGAGTTTCCAGTTGGTACAGTATAGTAGATTTTAGTCCTGATCACCATTTAGTTTGTTTTAATGGTTTGGAGGTGTTGTGTTGGTATTTATGCTTAATTATTTTGTATGTTGCCCTGAGGCATGTTGAGTTGGGCATCCTTATAAATGTTCTAAATAAATAAATTCTATTAACTTAATGATTAAGTACCTATTGCCACTCAATTGTTATTGTCACAAAAATCATGTAGTTACATTGTATATTCTCAGACATTTCTTACTGATATATTCAAGAGTAACAGAAAATATTAAATCCAGGACTCAAGTCAATTGTTTTTTAGCAACATGTGGAGAGTTAGCCATTGAATCAATTGACTTTGGATTGTAGCAAACCAGCATGTAACATTTATTCTAAGCCTCGCTATAGTAAACATGTCACATAAGCATTATTTTCTCACACCAGGCCTTCTGCCTGGACTTCTATAAAGTTGTTGAGACATTGGTCTTCTACATTGGTCTTCTACATTATTCAAGACCAGTATAAAATTATTTTTCCATATACTCTTGAATAATTTTTCCACTGCAATAATACAATGGTACAGCCCTGCGTGCAAGTTTAATCCCAGACATTTACAGACAGAGCTGTCAGAAAACACTAGCTAAAATCTTGAAAATCTGCTATCACTCAATATGAAAAATATTGGGTTATATCAACATTGTCAGGTTCGGTCAGCACGAGGTTTCAGGGAAGCACGGGGCTGCAGGGAAGCTCGCAACCAACCCACGGGGAACCCCCCGGGGGTAGCTAGCGGGGAAAAGAGGAACCGAAAGCGCCGCTAATTAA